AAAGAACTCCTAAGATACTCTGGATGGGGATGTCTTGGCATCAGGGGAGGCGTGGGCTAACTAAGAAGCAAGGCCAGAATGTCAAGGCCCACCTCTAAGCAGATATGCGTCCCTACTTCGGCTCTTTGCTCTGAATGCCCCCAGTGGCTATAGACTCAGAAAGGCAGAAGGAAGCAGCCCTGGCAAAGGGTCCCTGATCCTTTCATTAGATTGGATTCTACCAGGAAGGCGCATTTGCTAGCAGTGACACAGAGTAGGACAGAGGGACAATGCTATGTCCTTATAACCACAAGAACCTCTTTGAAGATTGACGTGGGCCAGTAATACTGACCTGACTGGCAATATCAGTAGCATTCCGGGCTCTCATAAAATCTGGAGTTTCATTGGCCATGGCATTCAGACCTCTTCCTTTGACTTCCAGTTCGAGGTCTCGCTTATATTCTTTCTATAGTAGCATTAAAAAAAAAAGTTACTTAATGTAAAACAAACTGTTTGGCTTGAGAAGGTCAAACTCATATACTTGATTTCTTATAAACTCTTGAGTTGCTGAGTCATAGCCCATCATAGCAACTGTGTTTCAATCACATACATCCACTCTGTAAACCATGTTGGTGCAGGAATACAACAAACTGTAACCAATCCAGCAACTTCTGTACCCCATTTTCCTCACTTCTGTTTTCTTTTTTTTTATCATAGCAACTGTGTTTCAATCACATACATCCACTCTGTAAACCATGTTGGTGCAGGAATACAACAAACTGTAACCAATCCAGCAACTTCTGTACTTCTGTACCCCATTTTCCTCACCTCTGTTTTCTTTTTTTTTTTTTTAAAGAACTATTCACTAATTTAATTCCATTTGTTATTATTATTTTTAATTTGACTAGAGAGAGAGAGACAGAGAAAGAGAGAAAAGGAAAGGGAGAGAGCAAGCTGCCAAGTCAGGGATTTGAACCATGGTAGGCCATGTGAGAATCCAGTGCATTTAACCACCACACTACTAGCACCCCCTCACTTCTGTTTTCTGTATGTCACTTTTCTTTTCCTCCCAATAAAAATTATTCAACCACTGGGACCAGCAGATGATGTAATGGTTATGTTGCTGGACTCCCACATGGCTGACTGTGGTTGGAGTCCTGGACCTGGTAGCTTGAAACTCATGCCAGGTGCATGTGTGTGCATGCCCAAAATCCTAAGAGGAGAGTGGAGGAGAAGGGATTACAGTGTTTCTATCCCCCCTGGGGGGTGATTTCTTACTTTCTGTCTCCAACTAGCACATGCACCCTAAAGCAAAATATCTGCCTTAAAAAAAGTATTAAACCATGCTACCCTTTAGAATTCCTTGAAAGCCATTTTGGTGGCTGCCCAGTTTGCAAGTTGCTCTTTGCTCAATTAAATTCTACCAAGTTAGATTTGTCCAAAGTATTTCTTTTTTTTTTTTGGAGAGATTTTTTTTTTCGCTATAGGGCACGTGCACTCGCTAGACAGAAAGTGAGAAATCACCCCCCAGGGGGGATGGTCACGCCACAATCCCTTCTCCTCCATTCTCCTCTCTGGATCTTGGGCACGCACGCACACGCGCCCGGCGTGAGTTTTAAGCCACTGGGTCTGGGACGCGAACCGCGGTCGACTACGTGAGAGTCCACTGACATAGCCATTATGCCAACTGCTGGTTCCCCGAAGTCTTTCTTTTAATGCTAACTTTTATGACTAGGTAACAAGCATACAGAGTGAATATAAATCCTGAAACACACCACCTCTGTTTTCCCAGATAGAGTCCCCGTAGGGTTTGCCTTTACAATTCCAGGGGGAAGAATGAAATGGTGGACACAGAAGCCACGTGCAAAACTATCTTACACATGTCAGTATGAGCCAACATAACATCTGCTTTTAGATACTTTAATTTTCTGAACAGAGAATGATAAGTGTATAAAATACATTTTAAATCTGGTTTGGTACACAGTAGAATTAAACAGGTGCCCACCACTCCAATGTAGTGTTTTTATTTAACTGAGCACACCAGTGTATCAAAGTTACATAAAATATTATTATTTTTATCTAGTTAGTTAGTTGAGATGGATTTTTGCTATAGGGTGCATGCACTTGCTGAAGAGACAGATAGAGACAGACAGAAAGCGAGAATTATCCCCTAGGGAAAATGGCCATGCCAAAACCACTTCTCCATTCTCCTTTTGGGATTTTGGGCACACATGTCCAGCATGGATTTTAAGCCACTGGGTCCAGGACTCAAACCACAGTCGACTATGTGGGAGTCCAGCAGTGTAACCATTATGCCATCTGCTGGTTCCAAGTTAAATAAAATTTTATTAAACAACAGGTTATGATAACCACTAAGAAGCATACTGTTAGAATACTCACTTATCAGAGATTGAGATATATTTTATTTAAGAGTCAATATTCATGTTAGAAATCGATTTGGAATTGTCTCTTTTGTCTCTGTTTTATTTTGTGTATAACTTGGCTAGGAACAGGAAGATGTTCTAGTATTTATTTTTTGTTTTAGGTTGTTTACTTTTTTTCATGAATGAGAGAGAGAGAGAGAGAGAGAACACTCCCAATAAGGTCCTGACACCGTGACACCCCCCCTGCCCCGAGCCTCAGCAAGCCCCAGAGAGAGAGAGAGAGAGAACACTCCCAACAAGGTCCTGACACCGTGACACCCCCCACCCCGAACCTCAGCAAGCCCTAAATCATGGGCGCACACATGGCCAGGATGTTCAGGGAGGCCTCGGGACCTGAACCAGAGCCATCCTGTGTGAGTCCGCCTCATGCAGTACTCATCTGATGGTTCTGCCATCACTAAGCCCTGAAAGATGCTCATGCTTTGGCTGTGGCCTACCTCATTGAGAATTTGAGTGGCATTCTTCGCTCTCAGCATGTCAGGTGTGTCTTCCATTTCAGTGAGACCCCTTCCACGGATGCTTTCCTCTAGATCTTTTCGGTATTCTTTCTATATCACAAAACAAAAACAGCACTGACAAGGAAGCCAGGATTGTTCCTCTTAGGTCAAGAGCCAAAAAGCCAAAAAAATAAATAAACCTAGTTTTTGAACAGCTCACAACTTGGTAAGTAAAGAAATGAATAAAGGCAGGGTAGAAGCTTCGTAAGTTAATATTAAATATCAGATTAAAAAAACAGAAATTAATAGAATGCTAAGGTAAGCACTAGAAATTCAATTTAAAAATGAGGGAGAATTAACATGGGTAATGGATTAGGTGGTAGTACCAAACACATGGGAACCCAACTTGAAACCCGCAGTTAGGTGGTGTCGAAACGGTAGAAGGAACACGTCAATGAATGCCATTAGTGCAATTATGTGGGTCAAGGGGGAACAAAAGGCCAGTGGGCACTACCTCGCTTGCTATTTTGGTTGCGTATTTGACATGTAATAAAGCTGGCGTGACCTCCAGGCCAGTCAGGTTTCTGCCTTTAATTGACTCTTCATAATCTTTCCTATATTCTTTCTAATGTGAGTAGGAAGGAAAGACAAATTAAAAAACATCATTGTTATAATATATATCACAATCCTAGGAAGAAAAAGCATTACATTTTCTTTCTATGTATGGCTTCTCAACTTGATTGCAATTCCGGTCACATATCTGCGACCCACCTAATGGTTCTGGAACCTTGTCTATAGCAAATGACCCCAGGGAAACTGTGAGGTTTGGTGGTCACTCCTTCATCGAATATTGTAACTAGGGCTGGCCCTCTGCCAGAACGGAAGGATGGATACATCAAGACCCCAAATTCACTATTGTCTCCCCTGAAACCTTTCCACATCTTCTGTAAGGTGACAGAATAGAAGTGACTCAAAGGGGTGGGGGCAGAAAATCCAGAGGAAGGTGAATCTGAAGACACTGAATGTTAATATGACCTTTTTCCACCATCATGACTTTTTTGTTTAAACTCACTGAGTAGGTGAGGTGAACAATGAGGTAAGATAAATCTTGCTGTTTTATCCACACTTGAGAGAAAGGGCCACCTCCCCCAACATCTCCTTCTCCTCAATCACCACACTAGTCCATCTCCAAGAGACTTGTAATAGATACTGGACCTCCACTAAAACAATGTTTTAATAGAATTTAAAATTTACAGAAAATAGGAGAGTAGTACAAGAAACTTCCATTTATTTGAATTTATAAATTGTTTGAAACTATTTTAAGCTTTTGATGATCTGGTAGTCTATATCTAGAAAGTTCTATGAACTGCTATTAAAAACCATTTATCTTTACAGTTGGAGATATGTCCCATGGAATAAACACAAACAAATTCCAAATAAGCTTGTTTCCAAAGAAAACAGTCTAAGATTCAAAATCAAATTCGATTCTGCTCTTAAAAATTCAATGAAATAAATTAAATGCCTCTGATTACAATTCTAGAATAAAAAATATGACAGCTTTTAATTTTCTGGGGTCTTAGTAAACATCTCAATTTTCTTTGCATCTTACTAAGGGCAGAGCATTGCAAGTCAATGGAATGTCTGTGTGGAAAAACGTTTTCATTTGTCAAAGAAAAATTCAAAATACATTCAGTATAACTTGTTTTGTTTTTTAGAAACAAGGTTTTGCTATGTCACTGAGGCTGTTCTCAGTCCTCCTGCCTGAGCCTCCCAAGTAGCTGGGATTACATTGCCACCTTCAGCTATATTCAGTATAATTTGTTCCAGTGTTAGAAAGTTTGTTGTGTTCTAATTGTACAAAAATGGCTATTGAAATAAAACAGACATGGTAAAATTTGCTATTGTGTTGTCAGGAAAGTCATGCATTTTTCCATTGGAAAACAGAAAAATGTGTCATGACTTTTAAGACAACCCAATATTTAGCCAATTTTTAAAAATACCTGAACCATAAGATTTCTGAGATAGAAAAGTTTCAGTGATTACATGTTAAAAAGTTCCATCATCTACCAATTTGATAGCAGGAGACTGTGGACAGAGCCTGTTCGCATTAGCTTGCTGGCGTCTGCGTCACATGCTGTCTCTGTAGGACTCACCCCACTCTGCATCTGCTGAGACTCTTTGGCAGTGATGTATGTTGGTGTCTCAAAGTCCAACATAGGCTTTCCTCGTTCCTTTTCATACTTCTCTTTGTATTTCACCTAGCGATGAAAAGCCTGGTTAGAAATCTTTCTGCTGGTCAATTCTCAGACACGGACCAGTTTCAGGACAGTACTTTTTAACTGAAACGTTAAATGCAGTTAGGTCGCAACTCATTGCCACTCAAACAGTGTCCTGTTGCGTTTCAGATCCAGTCACTTTTTCTTGTTGCCTGGGAGGGGAGACACCATGACTGCAAGGCATGATCAGGATTTGGATCCCATCCAAGGAGACAAAAGAACCATAGACAAGAACCAGCTGAGAGAAATGCTGATGTCAGGAAATGCATGAAGAAAACCACCATAGATAAGAATGGCCAATATCTGATATGCAGATGTGGACACTTTAATGATAGCATTAGTCAATATTTCTGATAAATAGCTCCACACTGCATGTGTCCTCACCAGAGAGAGAGAGAGAGAGAGAAATCACCCCGCAGGGGAGATGATCATGCCACAATAACTCCATCTCCTCTAATCTCCTCTTAGAAATTTGGGCATGCACACACACAGTGTGTTTTTTAAGCTGCCTGGTCCAGGACTTAAACTATACCACATGGGATCCAGCTGCCTCAAACACCATACCACTGGCAGCCCCATCTCTGTAGTTTATCTTTCATTAGAAATTTTATCAAAACCTGGGGTCTTAATCGAATGGATAACACTTGTAGCTTTATTTATAAGTAAACAACTCTCTCTGGGTCATTACTGGTCATATATTTAATATAACCAACATAGTTTGGTATACAAATGAAAACTAGTTTACATGTTGACTGACTTATTAATAAACCTGATATTCTAAAAAAGAAAAACCCAAGGCCACATTTACAATTATAATATGGGATTATGAATGGGAAAAGTCGTATCACTACTATCTGTAAATGCTGTTATCATTTATAAGATAAAAACTTGTTTCAAATTATTAACGCAACACCATTCATATCTTCCTATATTTCCTCAAACAATGGCTATTGAAAGTTGAATTCCTATCCTGCTATCCTGGGGCAAGTCCCTGGCACTCGATGAAGGTGCATCGGAACCAGTCAGTCTTCGTCAACTTACTATACTCTGTAATTCTGTGGCCTCTTTCAGGTGAAGCTGCTCCAGGTTGTCGGGTATCGTGTGGTAGTGGCCTTTGCTCTTCTCATAGTTCTTCTTGTACTGGTACTGAGGGGAGGAGGTAGACGGGCGTCAGTAGGAAAGCTGCTCAGCACACCTGTGTTCTCTCTTTAGGTTAGACATTTACACTGCAGCGTTGCCAAAACTAAGCTAAAAGCAGCAGACTCTGAGTGAGGGGGTTAAGAGGAGAGTTTTAAGAGATGAACAGCCAGGTTTAGGATTGTCAACTAATACCACTTAGATATATGTCTAATTCAAAATCAGTGTTTTAAGTAGAAGGTTAGAGAAAGAAACTGTTCCAGATGGTAGTTCTATGTCCTTAGAAAGAGGAAAGGTTAAATGAAAAAAAAAATTAACAATAGAAGCATTTTTATACTTTGAAAGGTGTTACAGGCAATAGGAACTGGTAGACTAATATTGGAATTTGGAAGAATACATGCCAACAGGAGAAGAGCTTCGTGATAAAACTAGTATATCACCAGGGAGGAGATGCAGGTGAGCTCAGGGAAGGAAATCTGTCAGTGGGTGAAACAAGCTGTGTCTGGAGCAAAGGACCGAGCTTACAGAACTAGCGAGCTGGCTCGTATTCAGGACGTGATTCATTATCAGAGATTCCTTCATGTCAGTCACAGGCTTGTGAAGTTTCTTCAGATCAGCCTTATATTTAACCTACGTGTTAAGTAGGGGAAAGGAAATCACATAATTAGGAAATGGAAGACAGCGCCAATGGAAATCATACTAAGATATCCTACCACGAAACAAATGCTCGATCTAGGGATGAAAAACCATACTTCACGCCCAGGAATCAGGAGGTGGAAATAACCCAAGTGTCCATCAACTGATGAATGAATAAATAAAATGTGTTACATACATACGATGGGGTATTATCCAGCCATGAAAAAGAATGAAGTTCTGACACGTGTTACAGCACGGGTGAACCTTGAAAATTTTATGCCAAGTGAAATATGCCAGACACAAAAATACCAATAATACATGATTCTATTTATATGAAATCTCTAAAATAGAGTTTCATAGACTTAGAAAGTAGATTAGCGGTTACCAGGAGCTAGGGTGAAAGAGAATGGGCAGTTGTTGCTTAATGGTTATAGAGTTTCCATTTGGGGTGAGGAAAAGGTTTTGGAAATAGGGCAGAACTGGAAAACACTGTGACTATAATCAATGCTATTGAACTGAGCACTTAAACACAGTGAAAATGCCAAGTATCATGTTGCATATTTTAGCATGGTTTCTAAAAACATACCTCGCTTGCGAGATTATTAGCATCCTTCATGACTTTGTAGAGTTGGCTGTCTTTTGGATTGTATTTTGGAGCCTTGCCCTTCTCTTTGTCGAAATTTTCTCGGTACTTAACCTGACAGCAAATGCAAACATTCAAATTATTCTTGGACACAAATCAATGTGGAAATTAAGGAATGGTGGGAATATCGATGCCAAAATATATGAGTTATACATAAAGTAACTAAATAATTTATTATTGGGACATTTTTAAACTAAAAGGGGACACTATTAATAATTAAGTTCTTGGCCTGGCTAATTTTTATATCATTTAAAGGTATAAAAAAATAGCCACCTCTTTCTAGTGCAAAACGAAAACAATTGGAAAAAGCTTCAGGCTGAATTCTAAGAAGTGACCTAATGTACTTGAGTTGAACATTTTGAATCTCCTAAACTAGAAAAAAAAAAAGAAAACCACAAAAACAGTTTAGGTTTACAGTAAGGAACTCAAAGAGAAGTTATAAATTATCAAGAAGGCTGAAGCGAGGAATTGGTTAAGTTAGGAGAATGTAATATACTTTTAAAATAACGCTTTGGCTATGTCATTTTAAAAAATTTAAACTTGGCCAAAAATGGTATCACTCCTGAGCAAAAAAAGTTAAAATTTCTAAGTTAATGACTTTGAGTATAATTTCAGACTAGAAATAAGAAAAATGTGAAATACTTCAGAATGAGAAAAAGATTAACTGTACTTTAGGATATAAAAATAAGACTATACAAAGGAATACATAACTTTAATTTAAAAAATAAGCACAATGTCTAGTGCTTAGAGTTGCCTGATAAATGTGGTTTGAGTGAATGAAAAGATAAGACAGTCATTATGTCTAGGCAAAGTACCTAAGGAATATGGTTTATTTATGGGAGAATTCAACAGAATAACTGAATGAGACAGAAACATTTCTTCATTGAATAACAGACTGATGCCTTTGTGAATGGCATGTGGATTAAGTCCAGAAGTAGAACTCCACTGATCACTCTGGGAAGAATGAAAAATGAACTGCCTTCATGTTAGCCAATGAAAAGGACCGTGTTTGTTGCCCAGGGAAACATGGAGTGTCTGTTATTAGTAAGATGAAAGATCAGACATCCAAAGTTAGCATACCAGAATTTAGTACCTGGATATTTTGCTCTGTGGAAATTTAAAACCAACACAGTATTTCCTTCGTGCTCTACCATGTCCTCCACGTTCCCACAAGCTGACACACGGAGCAGGACAGACACAGGATGCAACCACTCAGATGCTAAAAATGGTATCCGCCACACCAGAGAAAGTGCACTCGCAATGCTAAGGCTCATTTACATTGAACAGAACCGCAGTGGAAATGCAGGGGAAAAAATGAGCATGCAGAACTGTACAGGGAGATGCAGACACACTAAGATAGACACAGGAACGCAGAAGCAGACACCTAACAAAAAGGAAAAACAAATGCTACAATGGGCTCTTTTCTAAAAGAAATGCATTCTTAAAATAAAGAAACAAAGCCTTCTCAGGAAAGTCAGAGGTGGTGAGTTGGAGTCTGGACCAACAGGCAACATTTCCTAAGAGATACAGAAATCTGTGACTTTTCCAAAAAAGTCAAGGAAACCAGATGTGCAGAATCGGAATGGAGAGAAGAGAAGCAAAGGTCCATCTTGGATGAGAATAAAATTTGCTTCTTTCAGCAAGTATGCCAAAGTCCCCTATCTTTTATGAAATAACTTGTTTCTGGAGAAATATTTGAAGAGCAGCAACTCCATGGGTTCCACTTCAGTTTCTTTGTCTTCTGTTCATTGCAAGCCTAAATTTCCAACTTTTTAATTGGGAAGAAAAATGATGCCTCCTCTCTGCAAGAAGGCCCCCACTGAATGTGGCCTAGCACAACTGCTAACGTGGATCTGACCTGAGCACTTTCGGCCTTCCTTTCTCAGTGGATCTCCTTAAGAGCTACCACATTTTGAAAGGTAAGGACACGTGTCAGATTCAAGACTCTTAGGATGGGGTTGGACTAGGCAGCAATGTGGCAAAACCACATACCTGTGGTGTGGTAAAGCCTACTTCTTCTTGTTAAATATGAGAGCCAAGAGGCAACTGTGCAATGCCATGTACTGCCAGGTAGGACCCCAGTGTTCCATAATCCCATAAGGCTCAGTCACTGGGCCTATTGTAGATATAGTGTAGGAAAGTGATTCTGAGTAAATTATTCCTCTCAGGGTTTAATTGTTTTTAAAGGCCTAACATCTAGTTGTTCAGCTCCTCTTCAGAGAACTGAGTTATATATTGGCGTTTGTAAAGACTGAATAACAACCTCAAGAATTAGATGATTTTTTTCCTCTAAAGACTGTAAAACAGAATGAAAACATTTTAAGTAGTTTACTCTATTGGTTCATAGTATACCTAAAATGAGAGATTATATTAATTACCAGTGTTAAATGCATTCTGTATCAACATGGCACCTAATTTTGGAAGAAGCAGAGATTTTCTTTGTGTGGACAGAGATGAGATTCTCAATTTGTTTCCATTTCATTTTTTAATGTACTCAGAGTCAGCACCGAAGGCCATTCCCAGGTCCAGTCTACCTTCCTTTTCCAAGTGGTATGTTCCAGAGGGGAAGTTCATGCAGGAAAAGAGGGAATGTGTGCAAAAGTATATTCTCCAAGTTTCCACAGCATTCTACATGTCCCAACACAAAGTCAACAGAGAAGAGTGCAACTTGGTCAGTCCCCTGACCAAGGCCAAGAAAGTAGACAAGAACAAGAGAAAGACAGAGATTGGCTTGCTCAGTCTTACATCACTGACGAGTACATTAATTTTCTTAAGATGCCTCATCATAGGGGTGTCATAGGATGCAGCGCCGTGCCCGTGCCCTCTCCTTTGGCCTTTCAGGTATTCTGCCTAGAGTATGCAGCAAGACAGCAAAGTCAGGATGGGGAAAGCTCACACCCAGCTGAAGTCCCCTTGGACCAGGGGCCACACTGTGAAGCTGTCAATTCTGAGGCAAGCCTGGCACAGGAAGTGAGCCCAGGAACCTAGGCTCATAAGAGGATCTGGTAGGGTCCCATTCTCCACACCGTAAGATTCACTCAGGAGTAGAAGTAGGCATCCTTCAATCTTCAAAAACATTAATTTTCAAAAATTGAACATCAATGTCATTTCTTTACCTTTAGCTTGATGATGGTATGGCCTTGGACATTTAAAAACATGTTAACAATTTTTACATTAACAAGTTCTTGTTATAGTTCATTACTCTTAGAGATTCCGCTTAATTTGTTGGTGATCTCTTATCTTGCTTCAAGTACTTACAGAGTTTCGTCAATAATAAAAAATTGTTCAAGAATTTAAAATTCAAAAACTTAGAAAAATTACATTTGCTTGTCAGCAGACATCTAATTCTGACTTGTTTTGCCACTTAACATTACTACTTTATATCGTCTCTAAAAAAATGGAATTCCGTGTCTGGTATTGCTGAAAGTCATTAACATACGATAATCAAATAGGTCCCAAATATATTTCTTCAAATACTCAAGAGAACAAACAATGAAGAAGGAGATAGTAAGATTTCTAAATTGGAGGATAAATAAGATATTCTTGAGCTCTCTGCAAGATCTGGTGGTAGATTACAGTGCCTTGGAGCTAAAGACTGAAAATCTCTCATAACTTGGGGTCTAACGAGGGAAGTTAGGAAATACGATAATCTGCTTTGGGCAACACATTTCTGGGTCCATCTTTTCAGTAATATGTACTCTGCTAGAATGAATCATTCTCCCTCAGCACCATGTACCTGCCTTGGTCAAGTATTTGTCATACCAGATTGTAAATGCTGACCCATAGAGTTTTATGTAGCCTGAAGACACCTGCTCACACCTACTCCTAACTCAGGCATTTGATACATGTACATTGACTGAAAGCATAAAAGTTCTTGCATCTTGCTGGGTTCCAGAAGTTAGAATTTCATGATACTGTCAGGTTAACAAGTGAAACTGTCTCTCAGAGGTGACTCAAGTGTGACTCTGACCCTTGGGATATATCTTTGACTGAGAAGAGGATCCAATAGGACTCTTGAATCGACGTCTTTGTCACATGAAGATAGCTGAGCGCACAAACACCTAGGTACATACCCATAAGCAGAAAGGTGGAGAATGAGCAGGGCCTACACAGGTTAGAGGACAATGCAAGAAGGCCCTCGGTCTACTTTCAATGACATAACTTTGAAAGCTCTGCAGTGCTATTAAAGACTCAGCATCTCTTTGCTGAAATTGCACGTTCACTGCAGGGGTCTCCTTGTCTCCTGACATCAGAGCCATAGCTTGCCCATGTGCTTTACCTGGCTGCTCAGCCTGGCTGCCTTCTTGGCCATTTCTATGTCTGGGCGGCCAAGCATGCTCAACCCATGGCTGCCTTCCTTGCGATGCTTGGCTCTGTACTCCACCTGTACCAAAGAAAACCAAACTGGTCATGCATTCTGGGTGACCGGTGCCTTGTGCTAATTAGCAGTGGTCCTTAAGGTCTGAGGACATAGGAAGTGCACCCTCACCTCGCTGGCCTGTTTGGCTGCCTGTGTGGCTTTCTTGATGTCTGGCCGATCTGCCACTGTGGTATAATGCAGGTTCTCCTTGGCATCTTTTCTGTAAGCAACCTTTATTTGGGGAAGAAGATGTTGACTCAGTTGAGAGATATACCATCTTTCTCAAAGTCTTTGTTAAACGTAAGTAACCATCATACTGAAAACCGAGCCAGTTCTAACCACCGTGTTTTTTAAATGATCAGATAAAGAAATTACAGTGACCACACTGGAACAAAAGCATGCACCAGTTTGGGACCCACTGTCCAAATGGGCTCCTGAGGCTGTTGGGAGAGGGACTTACATCGCTCTGCTTCTTGGCCACATCCATAGCGTGTTTCACGTCTGGTGGCTCCAGCATGATGGAGTAGTTGGATTTTCCCTTCTCCTTCACAAACTTCTTTTTGTAGTTTGTCTAAATGGAGCCAGAATTACTTGTGTAAGCAGAGAAAGGTGTGAAGGGAGCTCCAGGACAATCCATGGCTCATCACTGGGTTTCAGTCTGGGACTCACATCTCAGATCCATATTCTACTTCTTCTGTGTAAGTTCTGTCCTGGAACTCAATGCTAGAACTACCTGGAAATCTTCTGAAAACTGAGTACAAGCATATTCAACTTTTATGTACCATTTCTACCTTTTTATGATATACAGAACCATATGAGACTCCTATAATGAAATACCAGGAGTACTATAACATTATTGATAAGGATAGAGTGGGAAGACAATACTGAGGTGTAGAAAGAGATGATCTCTCTAAAGCTGTAGCCGGTTAGTGAAAGGAGAGGGCACTCTGGATTAGCATGCTTCCTCCTGTTATAATGCGGGTTCCTAACATCTTATAGATAACAAGTCCTATGGAAAAACTCTCACTTGCCATAGTTGCCGTAACTGAAAAAGCCAATAAACATTGGGTTCTTTTTAAATTAGAGTTTAAGATGATGAATGGGTACGGATGGCAGGAGTGAAGCTCCATAAAGGAAAGCATTTAGGAGCAGAAAGGCTGCTGCAGCCTTTCACCTCATTCTGAGGTAAAGTGGCATTGCTGCTGCCAAGAGTCTCACAGCTGGAGACTTACATCACTGACATGCTTGGTCACTTCCTTGACGTGAACGGTGTCCCGGGTCTCCGGCAGTGTTGTGTATGATCCCTGGGCCAAGTGCTTCTTGACATGGTCCTTGTACTTGTTCTGTGGGAAGCCATAGACACTTGATCAGGTGTCTGCCAGGGCCCTGAGCCCGAGACGGAAGCAGAGCATATGGGCTGCTGGGGTTTACCTCAGACACCAGATTGCTGACAGTCTTTGCCAGGAGGATCTGAGGCGTGTCAGGCACAGCGTGGCAGGTGCCTCTCTCTTTGACATGCTTCTCTTTGTACTTCAGCTGTCAGAGTGAACAGAAGCATTTCCTCAGCTCCTCTAGGTGCCCTGCATGCTTTTATCAAGCTCCCAAGCCACTACATGATGGCTGAGACTAGAGCACCATTGACAGACTTGGAACACTGAACTCAATAACGACTTGTTATTTGGAAATCCTGAGAAATAGCCAAAGGTTTTTGTTTTCCCCCTTGATCTCTTGGAAGTTGAGGTTTTAATAACTGTCAAGTGGCTCTCATGATGAATTTTTATACAGACAGACTTTAGCTCAAAGCATTTGCAAATATGTTGTCTGACCCTTCTAAAGACTGTGGAAGGCACTGTTATCCCTTCTCCACTGCTGAAGACATGACAGTGCAGTAAGAGAATGATCACGGAAAACAATGACAGGTTTCCAGACAGACGCCAGCCAGGACTTCGACTCCTATCCCTGCTGGTGAACTCTGGTGTGTGGTGTAAATGAAGAACCATCACCTGGACAGCATGGCCTTGCACTGCTGCCTTCCTGCCCAGCCATGTTACAGACATCCACCAAGGGCATGGCCACGTTTCAGGACCTGCACCCCAGGTCCTACAGCAGCAGCCCTTCTCTGTCCTTTACTGAGTGTCCCTGGGGATTGTGGCCCAGAGGGTGGTTCTGGATGAGGTTAGGTGTCATGGAAGGACCAGATACTCACATCACTTTCTATTATGGTGTTCTTGAGGGCCAGCACTGTGTTTTTATCATCTGTGACAGAAAGCTTGCATCCCTTGAGGAACTCTCGGTCCAGCTTATATTCAAACTGTAACAGAAGGAAGGCAGAGGAAGAAGAAAGGTCACAGGCACAGGAGGAAGCTGGGCACTGGATCAAACCCACAGGGACTCTTCTGAAGTGGGGAGATGAGGACTTGCCACCAGGATGAGGACAAGGGCTTCCTGGCCCCTCCATGCATAATAGCTCCTGCTTTGCAGTCCAGCTGCCAGGACCGTGGTCTCTCGGAGGCTCTCCCCAGCCTCTCAGCCAGAACACAGAGCCATTCCTGCCTGAGCCCAGAAGCAGAACAGCCTGGGGCCAGGTTTGCTTCCCAAGTTTGCCTTTCCATTCTCCCCAACCCTCTTCTCTTTCTTAGGTCGCTAGCTAAGGTTATGCCCCAGCAGTGGTCATCACGCATAATTATTGACTGTGTTTCTCAGGTACATCGTGCAGTCCTGACAGTCCGCATCCCTCCTGTCTTACATCGCTTTGCTGCAGGGATGACTTGGCGGCCTGGATGAAATCTGGTCGGTCAGGGGTCCACTTCCAGTGGGCCTTGTTGGCTTCATACTGCTTCTTGTAGTCTAGCTGTTTTTAACAAGACAGACAAAAACCACTTCATTGGCTAGGCAGAATTGTTTACACACATGGCACAGAGAAACTCGGGCATTTTATTTATTTATTTTTAAAGAATTATTTACTTTATTTTGTTACTATTATTATTATTTTTTTAATTTGACCAGAGAGAGAGAGGAAGAGAGAGAGAAAGGGAAAGCTAGAAAGCAAGTTGCCAGGTCCCCAACTCAAATCGTGGTTGACCATGTGAAAGTCCAACACCTCAACCATTGCGCCACCTGCTGGCCCAAACGCCTGCATTTTAACACACCAAAAATAATGGTTTTTAAAGCAAGAGAGAGCCCCAAGTAAAATTTCTGTACAATTTATGTGGTGAGTTAACCACTCAGAGACCTTTTGGTTACAAAATAGAATTTAAAATGTGAAAAGGTCTACAGGTGAAATGATTCTACATCCTAACTCTTCCAGTCTAGCGCAATCATCTTTTTTTAAAATTATTTTTAGAAAGATTGTTTAGATTTTTGCTATAGGGCTCTTGCGGTTGCTGGAGAGACTGAGAGAGACAGACAGAAAGTGAGAAATCACTCCTTAAGGGGGATGGCCATGCCACAATCTCTTCTCCATTTTCTCAGGTTTTGGGCACACATGCACCCAGTGTGAGTTTCAAGCCACTGGATATGAGACTTGAACCATGGCTGGCCATGTGGGAGTCCAGCGAGGTAATCATTATGCCACCTCCTAGCCCCCAACCCAATCATCTTTAGAGTCAAGTAGTTTTGATTTCAAGTACATTGAATATTAAAAAATGATCACTTGTGTTTTTTTTAAATGCTACCTACTTTACTAAGTGCTTTAGAAATGATAAAATTAAATGACAAAGTTTAATATAATGAACTCATTTAATCTTCATGACAACTTCATTAAACAGACAGCTGAGGAACTGTCTAGAAGGTAAGTTAACTCAAAGTAAGACAATAAACAGAGGAGCTTGGATTCAAACTTATTTATTCTGAATTTAAATGTGTGTGTGCACTTCCTAGACCTTCATTACGGCTGGAGAAGTTACTACCTCAACCCGAATCTGAGTCACAGAAGTGGATGCAATTTAATCTGAGTGTTGAGGGGGGCGGTCTCCCTTTTTCAGGCACATTTCTTTCCTTGCTTGATTTTCTCTTTCTTTCTTTCTTTCTTTCTTTCTTTCTTTCTTTCTTTCTTTCTTTCTTTCTTTCTTTCTTTTGTTTTCTTTCTTTCTTTCTTTCTTTCTTTCTTTCTTTCTTTCTTTCTTTCTTTCTTTCTTTCTTTTTTAATCAAGGTCTCATTTATACACAATACAAGGCATATGCTTTTATGTGTACTATTTAATACACTTATTTCCATTTTATCATGAAAAATTTTAAACATAAAGAAGAGTTGCAAAAATGTTACAGAGAATACCCATACAACCATCGCCTGGAGTTTGCCATGTACGTTTCACTGCATCTGCGTTCTCCCGCATTCCTGTTCCTTCACCTTCCACCCAGCCTCGGGACACGTGCAAGCTACCTTTTAGCTTCTACGGGCAGCTCAGCTTGCCGATCCCGATAAGTATATGTTCTCTTTGGCACTAGCTTAGTCTACAGTGGTTTTAACTTTACTAACCTATTATATATTTTAAAAAATCACTGCTTATTGGAATGAACAAAATCATTTCTCTCTTTGAAGCTTGATGCCCCACCCAAAGAAATGAGTCAGTGAGGCGAGTAAACTGAGCAGGAAGAAGGTCTAGGCCACCCCTGGTGGCACCAAATGGCTCAGATATATTCTCCTTCAGAGGAAGCAAGTTCTAGAATTTGAGAAAGGAAGGAGAGAATGAAACATACTGAGGCACTTTCAAAAATGCAACCTTCTTTTTGGAATTAAATATGCTATTCTCCGCCACCCCCCATGAAGGCTGAGTGGGTATAATGCCCGCGGCATGAAGTGAGGCCACGCTTGCTCCTCTGTGAGGACCAAAAGCAGCATTTAGACTTTAGTATCACTATTCGTGCTCCTGAGGCCTAACTCTTTTTTTTTTTTTCACATTATTTATTATTTGTTTTTTGTATATACTTTCAATCATATTGTTTGGCTTACAATGAGACCATTTCGATATGTGCACATTTCTCCCCAGACCCGTTGATCAAAATATCTTTAACAGATAACACCACACCTCCCCATCCCATCAATGCTCTACCTCCGTATCCCTTCTCCAAATGTCCTTCGTTAGGCCCCACTCCTCCATATATACCTCATCTGACATTCACATCCATCTCTTGTGTTTGTTCAACCGTTAGTCAATCAGTTTCAGTCATAGAGTGCAGACATTCGGTATATGTTAAGTGGGGACATACTCATGATCTGGGCTCACTGGAGCTCCGTCACCTGGAAGCCTCTGAGACTTACGTTGGTGTTAACTTTGTAGGCGTCTTTGGCTGCTTTGATGTGAACAGCATCTGGCTCGATGGTGCAGTTTGATTTAGTTCTTTCGTAAACTTCTTTGTATTTCAGCTGTGGGAGGAAACAGTGACAGGGTTAATTTTTTAAAAGTTTCTTTCTTTCTTTAATGAGTGATCAAGCAAGCAAGCAAGAGACAGACAGCACCCCCCCCAAGGCCACAGTCTACTTTCAGCTTTAGCCAGCCCTGGATCATGGGCATAAGTGCTTTAGGAGTACTTAGAGAATCTCTGGACATGAACCTGGAACCTTTTTGTACAGGTCAGTCTCACAGAGTGTTACATTTTACCTCTGTGCCACTGTCTGGTTCCAAGGTTAGATTTTTTTTTTTTAAGAGACTATTAAGAGTATTTTAAAAAAACAAAAAAGGAGGGCCAGCAGTTGACGTAATGGCTATGTCGCTGGACTCCCATGTAGTCTATCACAGTTGGAGTTCCGGACCTAGTGGCTTAAACTCAACCTGGGTGCATGTGCGTGCGTGCTCAAGATCCTGAGAGGAGAATAGGGGAGAAGGGATTGCGGTGTGGCCGTTCTCCCAGGGGTGATTTCTCGTTTTCTGTCTCTCTGTCTCTCTCTCTATCTTTCTGGCGAGTGTATGCACCCTATAAAAAAAAAAAAAAAAAAAAAAAAAAAAAAAAAGAAAGAAAGAAAGAAAGAAAGAAAGAAAGAAAAAGAAAAACCATGACTGTAGTACACAATGTTCCATAAGATGGAATTAAAAAAAAAAATCTGAGGGCCAGCAGGTGGCATAGTGGTTAAAGTGCTGGACGCAACATAGACAATTAGGCAGTGCAAGTCCTGGACCCAGTAGCTTGAAAAACGTGCTGGGCACTTGTGCATGCATGCCCAAAATTCCCAAGAAGAGAATGGAAGAGAAGGAACTGTGGTGTGGCTATCCTCCCTGGGAGTGATTTCTCACTTTGCCCCTCTCTGTCTCTCTGGCAAAAGCACAGGCCTATGACAAAATTTAACAAGTACCAACAAACTGCTGTGAGGAAAGGACGCGGCAATGCAGAGATGTGCCCTCTTGTCTCAGATTTAATAAAACAATGATTTATTTGGGGGCCAGCAGGTGGTATGGTGGGTGGTTAAGGGCACTGGACTCCCATATGGCTAACCATGGTTCAAGTCCCAGACCTGGTGGCTTGCTTTCTCACTTTCCCTTTCTCTCCCTCCTTTTCTGGTCAAATTAAAATAAAAAAAAAAAGAATAAAGTTAAATAAAATAATTCTTTTTAAAAAGAATTATGTATTTTATTTATTATTATTATTTTGCAATTTGACCAGAGAAGGAGAGAGGGAAAGTGAGAAAGCAAGCTGCCAGGTCTGGGACTTGAACCACTGTCAACAGTGTGGGAGTCCAGAGTCTCAACCACCACATCACCTATAGGTCTCCTTATCGCAGATCTTAAAACCAGTTCCCCAGGGCACCTTAAATACAGCCACCAATGTTGCCATGGGATTTATGGTTTGGAGGAGAGGGAAGGAATGAGAAAATTTAGCCTCTGCAGAACCAGCAGGTCATTTCTCCATCATGGACCTGAGGCTTCTAGCTTCACCCGTTTTTGTTTTTTTTTTTTGGAGAGATTTTCACTATAGGGCGCGTGCACTCACCAGACAGACAGAGACATAGAGATAGAAAGTGAGAAATCACCCCCCGGGGGGGGGGGGGGTCACGCCGCAGTCCCTTCTCCATTCTCCTCTCAGGATCTTGAGCACACACGCACACACGCCCGGCATGAGATTTTAAGCCACCGGGTTCAGGACGCGAACCGCGGTCAACTACATGGGAGTCCAGTGACATAGCCATTGCGCTAACTGCTGGTTCCCAAGCTTCACCTTCTTTGCTTGTCTCAAATTTCAGGGTCCTTGGACCTAATCTGTATCTTCTCAGTAACTGTTGGGGAAGAATCCTAGGTTTTTGTTGTTGCTGTTTTGTTTTGTTTTAGAGAGATTTTTGCTATAGGGCTCATGTGCTCGCGAGAGAGAGAGAGAGAGAGAAATCACCCTCTCACCCACACACATCTCTCTTCCATTTTCCTCTTGGGCTTTTGGGCATGCACGTACACGTGCGTGGTGTGAGTTCCAGCCACTGGGTCTGGGACTTGAACCACGATCAACTATGTGGGAGTCCAGTGACGTAGCCATCATACCATCTGCTGGTCCCAGTATCTTAGGTTTTAATGTGATTAAGGCCAAAGTAAACTATGCTAAGAGAGCCACAATAGTGTTTTCTAAATTGAATATAAGAATTAGGGTTTTTTGGGCTTGATTGTACATTTAGTTTACTATTTCACTAATCACAGTCTTTAGGGGAAAAGCCTGGAAATTCCTCCTCTTAATCAATACCCTAGGATATTCAATCAGACACTTTTGGGAAATACATATAGAAATGCTTCTCTCTTGTTTTTGTTTTTGTTTTTGTTTGGAGAGGTTTTTGCTATAGGGCACGTGCGCTCGCCAGAAAGACAGAGAGAGACAGAGACAAAAAGCGAGAAATCACCCCCGGGGGGATGGCCATGCTGCAATCCCTTCTCCATTCTCCTCTTGGGATCCTGGGCACGCACAAACATGTGCCTGGCATGAGTTTAAGCCACCGGGTCCAGGACTCGAACCATAGTCAGCTACATGGGAGTCCAGCGACATAGCCATTACACTAACTGCTGGTCCCAAAATGCTTCATTTTTCTGTAGTTTAGGGAAATGGTTATTCTACACGAGAAACGTACCTAACAGATGCTTGGGAATACCTGATGATAATGTATGTAGTGCCAAAGCTTATTTTAATATTTTTAATATTTCCAAAATTCTTTATATATTTCTGCCTTTTGACAGTGCCCTAAATGTATTTAGTGTTTTTGATGGTGATTCAAGGTCAAGAATACCAACATCTTTATTTATTATCAAAGGATTCCTGGGCTCCAGCCAGAGTCAGGGTTTGGGAGGGAGGAGCCATTTCACCGTGGCCTTCACAATTCTGTCAGTGTCTAGGAGCTCATGGAGCCATGGCAGTCTGTGAAAGAGTTAATCTATTTTTTCAATCAAAGTAATGATACTTTTCTATCACAGAATCATGCTATAGACCTGAAGCTTATGAGTACAGTTTCTCCTCAAATTCAGGGTGTTGGTTTAACAACTAGTTTGTTCCTCTTAGCAGAGATGAAGTGTGTAGGGCATTAATAGTGTTTATGGCACGTTGTGTTTCTCAGAATGTGCTCAACAGCATCTCCCATCCCACACGTTTTCCTTCAGTGTGACCTTGACATTCGATTATCCAGAGGGATGTGCATCTCTTCACTCCTTGAATCTGAGTGTGTAAAAGGTGGCAAAGTGGGACCAGTATAGATGCATGATGGAGGAGGGTGATTTCTTGTTTTCCGTCTCTCTGTCTCTCTGGCAAGTGAATGCACCCTATAGCAAAAATATCTCTGAAAAAAAAAAAAAGATGGCAAAGTACTGCCATGTCCCTTCTAGGCATAGGTCTTAACTGATACAGAAGCTTTCATGTTATGCCTCCTGGAACCTGGCCACTCAGCTGTCAGAGGGCCAAGCCAGGGGGAGAGGCCACAGGGAGGAGCTCCCACTTACACGACAGCTGAGCCCCTAGCTTCCAGTCATCCCCGGCTGCCAGCCACATAAACGAGCTGCCTTGGATGCACTGGCCAGACAGCCTCCAAGGCTGATCCCAGCACATGAGGACAACCATTCTCTTTGCCCAGTCAAGTAAGCATTCTGAGTAAGACAGAGATGTTATTTTAGGTCACTAAGTTTTGGTATGGTTGTCTCACGGCACTAAGTAACTGAACTGGGATTGTTACACCACATTGAGTAAAGGCCAAGACATCACTAAGGCGATTCTCTGCAATGCTGGACCCACGTGGAAAGACTCTGGGTTTGCATTCCAAGGCCTCCCTGTCCATGCTAGGTGATCACATGTTCCTGTGAGTCAGTCTGCCTGAGGCTGGGGGTGGATTGCAGAGCAAAGACAATAATAGGGGGTGCCTATCTTTCTATCTTGCTGTCTCCCCCTCTCATGGAATAAATAAATACATAAAGGAGAAAGAAAGAAGGAAAGAAAGGAGAAAGGAAGAAAGAAAGAAAGGGAAAGAAAGAAAAAAAGAAAGAAAGAAAAAGAAGGAAAAAAAGAAAGAAAGAAAGAAAGAAAGAAAGAAAGAAAGAAAGAAAGAAAGAAAGAAAGAAAGAAAAAAGAAAGAAAAAGAGGCCAAGATGAGAGGGGCTGACACGCCATTCTGTACTCACGTCGCTGACTTCATCTTTAACCTTGCGGACGTGCAGCAGCATAGGCGTGTCATGGATTGTGGTGTAGCCTCTGGGTTTGGCCTTGTTGTATTCCAGTTTATAGAGTATCTGGAAGAGATTAAAGAGCAGGAAGACATAGTGATATGCTTCTCAATCTACAATGAGAAACTACAAATGCAGAGTTGTCTGTGGGTGACTACAAGAAAACCAGGTGCTGTCATGCTCTCTGCAACGCCTCCATCCTCTCCCCTGGCCCAGTTGGTTGGAACAATTCTTCCTTGGGAAAGGAAAAATCCCGTGCAGTGTTACTGCCTTCTGGAGGAGTCTGACCCAGTAAGGCCCAGGATCTGTCTTGAGCTTTTTGACCTATACCTCTTAGGTCAGGCAGCACATTGGCAAGGCCGCTGCTGTGTACCCCCCGACTTAGGAATAAGACTTAGGTCGAATTAGCATGTCAGCAAGACTGCTTGCTATTTGCTCCAGAAAACTGGTAGCCTTGCTGGGAAGCGACCCCCCCTCTGACTCCCCAATATACTACTATAAAAGAATTACATAGCTCTCTTATACATCCTGAGTATATGATAAAATTTTCCAGGAAGTCCTCCGACCGCTCCCCTTTGCTCTGATCACCTACTGTTAATTACAATGCTTTATCTCTATGGTCACAATAGAGGGTGGGCTGAAGTTCTATCTAGGCAGAAATAATCTTGACCTTTGGAAGGCCCTTCAAAATACATTAAAGGTAAACTTAATCTTTTCTTTACCTAAAATAGGATTAGGCCAAAACTGGCCCAGGACACCCTCTCCCTCACCAAGTGAAATAGATAAATATATTAGGATTCCTCCAATTAAGTTTTAGATCCCTATAAAACTGTATAAGTATCATTCTTTATTAAGATCCATAAGAACTAATATCTATACTTGAGATTTTCTTTTCTCAGCACCATTCCCGGTAATCACAAAATGGCTGCTGCACCGCATCAGCTGATAATCATCTCTGCTTACTGGAACAGCTTTCCCGAAACTGCATTCCATGGAGACCCACCTACAATTGCGGAATTGCACTAGACCCACCCTTAATCCAACCCTGAATAGAATCTATATTCTCTATTGTTAAAACTTTATGAGCTGATAATTGAAACACGTAGTCCCTCTTCCATTTACTTGTATGTAACACATTTTCAATAAAAAAGGCACAATAATTCCTGGCAGTTGTCACTCCTCATAGAGCAATCTCTGGGGGATGTCTGGCAAAGGACGTGCATGAAAAGGCACCGAGACCTTAATCTTCTTCTTCACCTGCGCTGCCTCCATCTAGTCAACCCACCCCCGCTGAGGCTGGACCCCGGCAGCCTTCCTCCCATTAAGTGGCAGAAGTGTCCCAGACAAAGTGACAATCTAAAATGATCCTCTGCATTTCCAAAGGCCCCAGGACTTGAGAATCCATTTGTGTTTTCTGTACTTACATCGCTGATTTGCTTGTTGACTTTTGTAGTACGTAGGTGTTCCGGAGTGTCCACAACTGAGGTAAATTTGTCCTTTGATTTTTCATATTTTTTCCTGTACTTGATCTAAATTGTGGAAAAGAAGAGCAAGTTAACTCTAAGAAGTAGAATAGAAGGCTTTCTTTTTCTTTTCAACTTTATTATGGGGCATGCGTCGTCACCAGAGAGATATACAGAGACAGAGAGAAGGAAAGTGAGAAATCACCCCCACCCCCGGGGGGAATGGCCACACCACAATCCCTCCTCATCCATTGTCCTCTGGGATTTAGGGCATGAATCCACATGTGCCCAGTATGATTTTCAAGCCACTGGGTCCAGGACTCCAAGTGTAGTGTTGGACATGTGGGATCCAAGGCCTTAACCACTATGCCACTGGCTGGGCCTAGAAGAGGGTACTCCATGACATCTTTTTTTCTCTTAGAATACAGAGTGAGAGATAGTGTCATGGTTGCATTCCCTGTAAGTCCTAACTGGAAATGTTTAATATAAATTTGCATTTGATAATAATAGTGTGAAGGAGTGAATAAATACTAATAACATTGATGATATTTTCCAGTATGTTTTATACACATGGAAACTGAGGCCCTGGGAGGGTGTGAGACTAAGCCTAGGGCACTTACAGGGTAAATCTCAGAGCAGAACTAGAACCTGGTTATCTGGTCTCTAACAGGTACTGTTTCACTCACAAGATACTACACTGAGTATAAAAGGTCTCTTAAGGTATTTTTCCATATCGAAGAGGAAACAGAGATGTAAAATAAAAATTAGTATATATGACTTGAAGTATTTGTCATTTTTAAAAATGCATTCATTGAGACTAGCAGGCAGCTTGGTGGTAAAGGGCACTGGACTCCCACATGGCTGACTGGTTTGAGTCCTGCACCTGGTGGTTTGCTTTTTCTCTCTCTCTATCTCTGGGGTGAGTGCACATGCCCTATAGCAAATTAAAATAATAATAATTAATAAAATTAAATAAATTACTCTTTAATTAAAAAATGAATTTACTTTATAACTTCTAAGTCTTTTTTTTTTTCATGCACATAAGCTGTTTCAAGCAGGACAGATACAGACAGCACAACAAAATTTCATGCACCACCATCAGATGATCATATCAGGATGAAGGAGAAAGTTCAGGTACATAGGACGTTTATGAGAGACCTCATCATCTCATTTTACATGTTGATTTGATGGTAGACTAAAATGATAATACGAGTTGCAAATAACAAGATTAATTAAAATTTTTGTGAGCTTGGAAAAAATGGCATTTTGTTTACATTGTATCTGGAAGTTGACCAACATCACTATTCACTGCTACTTTAAATTTACCTTTCAGCATGTGATGGAAAGGTGGTAGAGTGGGTTTCAGTTGGCTTTATAAGAAGAAAATGTTACCAGTAATGTGTTGCCCTGTGTGTGAGAAGAGATATGCTCGAAATAACCCGGCAGTTCAGAACCAAACCCGAGGCACCGTGAATGTATTCACTAGTCAGAGGGCTGAGTGGCAGTCCTTCTCTTTCTCAATGGGTTGCAGTGATAATTGAACAATAGAAAAATTAGATAAAAAAAGTAAATGTTCAGACCTTTCGAGTGTTATTGAATCTGCTTTGAAGTCTTCTGTGTCTAAGGAATCTATTTCTTTAGTCCAATACTGAAAAAATGCAAATTAATATTTACACTAGTTTGGAAATACTGTTTGAAGGAACCTCAGTGAATCTTACGAGGAGGTCCGAAAGCGTCAGATGGTGTGGATGATGGCCAGCCCACCACCATGGCTGGCTACATTCAGAGGTCGGGTATGAGGAATGAGTATTTATGCAGCTTGCCCCTGTGAAGCCAGCGTGGGCAGGGAGCAGGGAGAGGAAATGAATGAAAGCATCAAAGGGAACGCACCCAAGGCGCCTAGGTATCCTTCTTCACATCCCACCAGACATTACCTGGCTCCACATGTGTGTATTGTAGAGTGCAGTCAACATATCTGGACGCAGAATTTCATTACATCCTTGTTTCAGAAGCATCTTGGCACTAGATTTATATTTTCTCTGTCCATGCAAAGAGCAGTGAAGCACAAAAGAGACTTAGGAAGACAGAAAAGAACATGGCTCTATATCCCAGTCACCTCTGAGTGAAGAGATGTAGGCGTACACACTTTCTGTACTCACATATGTGTGTGGGTGAAGACACAAATGCTCCCTAATGCCAAGTAGAATGACTGCAATACTTATGGCTGACCATCCATAGTCTTTTGTGAATGGAGAATGATTTAGCTAGTCTCCCTTAGGTTACCACCAAAATTGCTTTATAGAAAAGAAGACATTATTGGAACAGCAAAATAGAAAGGAGTTCTGTCTTCTTTCCATCCATTGATTTTGTTTGCATGTACAATACAATTTACAGTTTGTAGCTGCAGTTGACAAATGGGTCCTTAGGATGGGTAAAGGGTCACGAGACCCAGCCTTTCTTTTCTTCACCACAGCACAAGTGAGTACACAGTGTATGGACTGGCACACTCAAATAGCTCCTGGGCTCTTTGGGTGGCTAGACAGGTACTTTGAAACAGAACAGCCCAATATCATAGGCAGGACCTATGACATCCTTGCAGCAGACGGACGACATCTCAGGAGAAACCTGGACCACAGTCCAGCCCGGGCCAACCGGCCAGGCCCATCACAGTACCTGGCTGATCTGGTCGCCTGCGGTCTTAGCCAGCAGATGTCTAGGCTCATCAACCACCAGGTGGTATTTATCTTTCCGCTGCTCATAATCAGCTCTGTATTTTTTCTGCTCAAACATCACATCAAATTACAGCAAGAGTACAATTTCAAGGCTATGCAGAAATATTCCATGATAAACACTCTCAGGAAGTCAGAAATATCATTGCACCCAAGGCAATAAATGCAGGGAGGCAAAGAGAGTCAAGTAAAGGAGGGACACCTGGAAAAGGTGGGAGTCTGAGCTAGATCTGAGTCACGACACTGAAGTCAGGGTACCTTGTGCCTAGACAGGTTCTATCTTTACTGAGGATACTGTTAGCAGTGTTAGGTTTTATAGCATCTTGTGTTGTACTTAAAGTAAGGTACTGATAAGCTACAGGTTTATAATCTAAGGCAATGAAAATCCAAAAGCACACTAATGCTGAAACATTCATGGAAAGGTTATAATAGCCTTCTAAAACTCGTTAATCTATTTGATTATACAAGAGACTAGTAATCCTTTAAAAAAAATAGAAACAAAATACATCAAGACTGTCCTCCTAGGAAGCTCTTGACAATAATTCTTCAGAGTTGTGCAACCTGGAAATCTACTGAAAATGAACTAAATCAAATTAAGAAACAGTAAAACAAGCCATCAAAAAGTGATACATTTGAGGAAATACACTAATGACTACATTTACTATCTCAGATACATTTTACTATTTTTTAAACTTTATTTTTGAACTTATATAAATCTATGGGAAATCTGAAAATACAAATTAAATAAGTATACAATTATAAAACCATCCAAGCATAAATAAATTCAAAGCTTGCTTATTTCAGCCACCTTGGGCTAAAAGCCATTGAAATGATTGCAACCGTGGTTAGAAGAAAGACTAGCTAGAACACAAAGGGGAAACTGGGGTGCAAATGGATTCTTCTATGCACCAATACGCCCCCAGTGTATGTGGGAGTAACAGTCACAGTACATTTACAAGCATAAATCACAGCTATCCCCTTTATGGGTGGCTCGTACCACTGCCATTTTGGTACCTTAGTAGGGGATAATAGATGAGCCTTAAACTTCTGGATCTCCCACCTTGACACAATATTATGTTTCAGGGGCGTTCACTCACAGGGCTGCAGTGCCCTGGTCAGGACAGAGTGCTGACGTCTGTAGAGCCTCTGGCACTTCGTATGGTCCCTTCGCTTGCTCTCCTTCACAGTTTTAGCAGAGCCCATCAAATGGTGACATTTTTTATTTCGAATAAACACTTAGGATGGCTTTCCTGGCATTCTATATAACGGGTTTCGAATAACTCAACTGACTTCTTGAGCGAACTAAGTAGGCTTCATTTTAGGGGTTCACACATACCTCATTCATCAGCTGTGTTGCATACTTGAAATGCTTATTGATTGGTGAGTCAGCGACATACTTGAAATTTGACTTTGTTCTTTCAAATACCTCTTTATATTTGTACTAGAAAAAATAGAATCAGGTTTATTTGACAGCAAGCTGTGATTTTTTTTAAATGGCGATACATGCTATTTATCTTATTATTTAATTGTGATAATTCCTTCATATACTTTGCAAGTATTTACTGACCATTTACTCTGTTGCCTAATGCAATAAAGCATAAAACTTGCCTGGAGACCTTAAAAATTGATCAAAAAATACCTATCAGAAAGCACTTTTCACAGAATGCATGTCATCTAAACTAAATCAATTTCTTCTTCATATATGTATGAGGTGATCTTCAAAAAGTTCATGGATAATACATATATAAATAAAAGCATACATAAATTTTTTAAAAACTTTTGTACCCAAATACGTTCATACTTTAATTTTCCATGAACTTTCTGGAGTACCACCAGATATTATTTTACTTTGAAGGTACTTTCATGTGCATTCGAAAGCAATTTTTAGCCTATGAATTTGGATATATTTTTCCAGTAATTAGTTAGATAATCATAATCTTTAACAGCAGCAGTGGGCTACAACCTATCAGCTCACCATCTGTTTTAAACAACCCCATTAGTTAAAAATAGTGCTTACATTTTTAAGGTTTTACCTCAAAGAAAGAAGACTATGCTGTAGAATGAATATGGCCCACAAAGTCAACAATATTTCCTGTCTGGCACTTTTCAGAAAAAGATTGCTGATTCTCATTTTAAAGCTCGAATAAAGCTAATTTTCAACTGCTTTGTTTTGTGAATAGGTAAATGAGGCTATAAAAAGAAATGATTTGCCTCAAGTCACACATTGCTATGGATTAAAATAATTCCACTTTATACTCACCACCATATCAGCTCTACTATGGTAAATCACCTAGAGATAAATGAATATTCTGGAAAAGTCCCAAGGAGTTGTACTGAGACGACTTTTATCGAATTCAAATAAACAACCATAGTCAATGACAGTAGTAAAGACATTCCTAAGGAAAGTGAACAATGCAGTATGTGTGTGCAGGTATCTGTGGAACAGCCATGACCTTTCTCCTTGAGTAAATGTACCTTGCTGTACAGAGTCTTGTTCTGTTCTGCCAGAGTGAAGTCAGGGGTATCATAGGCATAGCAACCAATGCCTTTAAGCCAGGTCAAGTCCTCTTTGTATTTTACCTAGGAAAAACACAATGTCATCAGAGTTCCAAGAACCTATCTTCAAATAACAATTAGGTTCTATATACACGAAACCAAAGAAGCTTTAACTGCTGAAGGTAAACGAAACACTATAGTGTTAAAACAACTACATAGACGAAGTTCCAATAATACTGATTGTTGCATATTTTATGGTATAACTTTCTATAGCATATGGAAACTTTCATTTTTAATTCTAATGAAAGCCATTCAAATGTAACAGGCATACTTTCCTTAAATGTATAACATTAGCTTGGCAGTGACATTTTCATATTGAGAGCTAAAGTTTTCTTCAAAGTGAACATTGCTATGTATCTTCATTGCTATGTAAGGTTTTCTCCAATGGATTAAAAATAGGCTATTTCCTAGATAAAGTATTTATCACTTCCAGTCATGTAATATGTCATATACTTAGAAGAAAAATTGGGTCTATACATTTGAATATATTTTTCCTTCTCTCAGGTGCAAGTTCACTCATCTAGCAATTGAATTTTATGATTTAAACATCCCTACACAGAACCTACAATTGAGCTAAGTGCTGCATCAGTTTTTGTGCAGTGTCTCATTGTGAATTTAAATGGGAAAATAGAGGGTGTCAGGACTCACATCGCTGACTGCGTCAGTGACTGCCCGGTGGTGGAAATGCTCGGGGCGATCAGGAATGGACCTCCAGATTCCCAACTGGCTCATGTAGTTCTCCTTGTATTTCACCTGTTGAAAACACAGAATAGTATGGAGGTTTAGTCGAAATGATCACAAACATGTCTGTTCTCTCTGAAGAATTCTAGTAAAAGTGATTTGGGTTTAAAAAATGATGGTGTGTTACAGAAGCCTGCGCAAGTAGAAATTGTTTACGGACATACTTTACTGATGTCATCTGTGACTTTGCGGTGATAAACAATGTCCAGAGCATCCTTTACAGTATGGTATTTCCCCTTGGTCTTTTCAAATGTTTCTTTGTAGCGTAGCTGGAAAGAAAAAAAGCACATGGTTTATAAATTTTACCGAATTAAAGAATTGAACTCTTTTAAGCTTCAATTCTCTTGAGTCTTCTCCCATGAATAAATTTAGGTAAAATTGAAATGCTAATTCCAGATCCTGGATGAGAAAAAGAATATGAGGAAAAAACGAATGGGAAAAACGAATGAAATTGAGGCAAAGTATGGAATTCAGTTAATAATAATGTATCGCTTTCGGCTCACTGGTGGAAACAAATGTAGGAAGGTAACATAAAGTCTAACATTAGGAGAAACTGGGGTGTGGGGTATATGGGGATTCTCTGTACTGTCTTTGCCACTTTTCTGTAAATCTAAGACCACTTCAAATAACAAGTTTATTTAAATGTAAAACAAATAAACCAGAAGCTCCTCTGGGAGGAAGAAAACACAAACATAACTTTTTGAGCCCAAGACATATATATGTACATGGAAAGGGAAGGAAGATCTAACTTCTAACTCCTGGTATTAAAGTGCCTTCTCCACCAAGTGGAAATTTTTTTTCATGTAATCCTTATCTCTGGGATAGTACAGGAGAAAATAGCTCCAACTCTAACCTAAGAAGATCATAGACGATTGGTCTCATCTTCACAAGATGAGTGCTTTTCTCAACAGTCTGTTTTCACACTCAGACACCTCTTTTGTGGTAGCTGAGACAACACATAATGAAAAATGTCTTTTCTTTGACTTGTGTTTTTGTTTTGTTTTGTTTCTTTAGATGGATAATCTAAAATCCCTGAGCTCTACCTATGGCCACAGTTGATACACTGAATTCAATGCCAGTACTAGGCTTGCTACGTTGGATCATTTTAAAGACTGGGTTGATCAGAATGGGTACTGATAAAGCCATAGGGATAAGGCTGTCCAATGATGCATAACGAGCCCCAGCAGGCCAGTTTCACTAAGGCCACACCTGTTAAGGTGCATATTAAGTTAGTTCAAATTAATATTCAACAGTAACCTAAACGTGATAAAGATGGGAATATCACAAGATTTAAATATCCTAGAGCCTAGGTTTTGAAGGGAGCATATGGTTTTCTTGGCTTATAATTTAATCACTAACTAACATCATCTCTTTCTAATTAGCAAGAGTCCCCTTTGCTCCAAATGAACATTAATGACAAAACTGTGGAACCAAAATATTGTTCCAATTTACTGTACCCCTCACATTTCTGCTTAGGGATCTCTGCAATTACCTTAAGATACCTTGAAAGCCTAGAGCTATATTGTGAAGTTGAAGGGTTGTGGGGCTGGCTCCAGCTTTTGGCTTGGTTTAAATGCCGACACGTCCAGGACACTAGGGGTTCAGGTTCTGGTAACGGGTACAGTGAATTCGTGGCTGGCCTTTTGAGACACAGACTGGCAAAAGCTGGCTATTTACCCCAGATGGACTGATTTCACATCTTTATTAACAGACATCAATATCATTACCATTAAAAGTCAATCTTGTCCATGATCATGTGATATGGGAAATGAAAATCTGTCCCTCTTAACTCTAACTACTGTGTCATGTGCATTCTCACCTAATCTATATTTCGGCAATTAAGAAAATAAGTGGAACAAACATTTTATGAAGAACACTGGAAGTCTAACAGTGTATTAGAAACACTACACACATTTTCTTATTAGTCTTATTTAATTATCATACTTTTCATCCTCATTCACATATAAGAAAAATGATTCAGACATTAGGCAGACTATATAGAGTGTTACAGCAGATAAGTGGCACCAGCAGGATCTAAATCCATGTTTGGCCAACTCCAGGACCCTGATTTTATGGATAAGTTAGTTGTTAGGCACCTCTACCCTAGGACATGCTACCAAAGAATTGCAAGGCAGGAGAATTTGCCGGGAGAGAACTAGGAGAGTTGGCTTCTAGCATCTCTCATACTGTTCTTAGCCACGTTGCCTGACTGGTATCATCTGGGCCTGTTTTGGGTTTGTTTGTGTGTGGTTCCCCTAGCCCCACCCTGGGCCATATCATGAGCCATAACTTTGAACTACATGTATAAATGCAGCATCTTTTGTTCCTTAGCTCTCACGCAGTGGAAAGAAGGCAAGGGTGCTCACATCACTGGCATTCCAGTAAGCCTTCTTGGCTCTGATGAGGATCGGCGTATCCGGAACTGGGGTGTACTTGTCCTTCATCTTTTCATATTGAATCTTGTACTTTTTCTAATAAACAAAAGTGAAAGAGAGAGATGAACTTCAGTTCATACGTTTTCTTCCCTCCTAATTCAAAACCGTGTCCTAGAGATAGTGAAAGGACATGAGGTCTCATTTTAAGAGAGCAGCTTGGCCTTCTGTGTTTTAATGATGCTGAGCACAATTTATAGTAATGAGCTCTCTTGGCAGAGGTAGTAGATGAAGGTTTTAACCAAGTCTTTTTCTTTACCCTAGTGGCTCAGCATCGAATTCTCATCTCACCTCGCTGACCATGTCCTTCACGTCCTTAGCATGCTTCAAGGCTGTGGTCTGGTTTCCAGCATGATGGTGGGGTCTCTCTTTGGTGGCAAGTTCAACGTACAGATACTGGACAGTAAGAGAAGAATGTGAGATGTTACAGTGGTAAAACATTCAGTATTTGTTATTCAGTCCTCTTCATTCCTCTTTAACCATTAAAGAGAAGAGTGGTGTCTATCTGTAATCCTATTTTTTATTTTTTTAAATTGTTATGTGTGTTTCTGTTCATTTTTTTTTTTTTTGAGAAGTTTTTGCTATAGGGCGCGTGCGCTTACCAGAAGGACAAAGAGACAGAGAGACAGAAAGCAAGAAATAATCCCCCAGGGGAGATGGCCACTCCGCAATCCCTTCTCCTCCATTCTCCTCTCAGGATCTTGGGCATGTATGCACACATGCCTGGTGTGAGTTTAAGCCACCAGGTCCGGGACTTGAACCGCGGTTGACTACGTGGGAGTTCAACGACATAGCCATTACACTAACTGCTGGTCCCAATTTTTTCCCTGTGTATCTCACATTTGAAAACAGAAGCATATGCTTCTGCTGAGTATGGTCCAATCTAAAGTCTTGTGATAAAATTTGCTAATAGAAGAGCAAGAGAATTCTGACAGATCCTTCGACATATTTTGCCTCCACTTTTTGCTCCATGCAGGCATGTGGTTTTGATTATCTAAGGACAACTGCTAGAGTTTATGAGGGATCAAGCAATCATTTTCACTGCTTGGAGTCCAGAGATCACTTCTCCAATGACAAAAGTTGCATAGCACTTAGAAAGGAAGATGTGGCATCCTTTGCCCACATAAAACATAATGAACCATAATTATGATGCCCAAAAGAAAACTCCTTCTTGAAGTGCAGTGTTCATGGACATGGTTGCAGCCGGACAACAGAGGGTGAACGTTTGCTCCTGGCCAGGAGCGGTCAGGCACACATAACAGCCCCCTGTGAGGCCAGCCTGGCAGGGGTAAGACTTTTTATTAGAAAAGGCCTTACCTGACTCTGAAGCTTCTGCCCTCGCTTGGCTCTTAAAAGATCAGGCGTATCAGGGACTGAAGTGAAGATGGACTTCTGCTTCTTGCCGGCAGCTCTGTACACCAGCTAGGTATAAAACGAGGCGTCAGCATCACTTCTGCTTTATCGGCACGTTACATTCTCTGCAGATGCCTTTAGTGCATACTCGGAAGAGGCAGGGAGCCTCCTACTGCAACAGCCCCAGCTTCTTCCCAGTAAACTGATCATTTATTTACCTCCTTGGCCCTTCTTTTCTTTCTCCCCTTGTATCAAAATAGGAAATATGTTCTACTCTGTTTGAAATCCAAGCCTCCTGCTGTATTCTTGGTTCCATCCTCAGCTGTCTGTTTTTTATTTTTAAATTTATTTTTATTTTTTAACATTAATATGCTATACATCATTACAGTATACAAAATGAATTTTTCATCCAAAATACACTGTCTGTTGGCTCAATAAAGCACATCAACATACGTGTTATCAACAAACAATTTTTCATTTAAAACATAATGAACCATAATTATGATGCCCAAAAGAAAACTCCTTCTTGAAGTGCAGTGTTCATGGACATGGTTGCAGCCGGACAACAGAGGGTGAACGTTTGCTCCTGGCCAGGAGCGGTCAGGCACACATAACAGCCCCCTGTGAGGCCAGCCTGGCAGGGGTAAGACTTTTTATTAGAAAAGGCCTTACCTGACTCTGAAGCTTCTGCCCTCGCTTGGCTCTTAAAAGATCAGGCGTATCAGGGACTGAAGTGAAGATGGACTTCTGCTTCTTGCCGGCAGCTCTGTACACCAGCTAGGTATAAAACGAGGCGTCAGCATCACTTCTGCTTTATCGGCACGTTACATTCTCTGCAGATGCCTTTAGTGCATACTCGGAAGAGGCAGGGAGCCTCCTACTGCAACAGCCCCAGCTTCTTCCCAGTAAACTGATCATTTATTTACCTCCTTGGCCCTTCTTTTCTTTCTCCCCTTGTATCAAAATAGGAAATATGTTCTACTCTGTTTGAAATCCAAGCCTCCTGCTGTATTCTTGGTTCCATCCTCAGCTGTCTGTTTTTTATTTTTAAATTTATTTTTATTTTTTAACATTAATATGCTATACATCATTACAGTATACAAAATGAATTTTTCATCCAAAATACACTGTCTGTTGGCTCAATAAAGCACATCAACATACGTGTTATCAACAAACAATTTTTCATTTCTTATGTCTTGTATGTTTTGCGTTTTTTCTTTTTTTGAGCTCTGTTCAGCAGTTTCCCCTTCTCCTCCATATTGTCCACCTTTCCTGTTTATCCAGCCCTCTCCCCTTATCTGCAAACAGATACAAGTCCCTTGCTTCATTAAGCCTTTTCCAACCCCTAGCTAGTGGTCTCCTTCCTCCTTAGCCAAGCCTCTTCAGTGTTTCATTTTGTCTCCTCTTCTGATTGATTTCTGAAGCCGTACTTTGACTCCTGCCTGACCACCAGTAAAGTCACTCTTGTGAAGACTACCAACAACTTGACTGTCAAATACAAGAACACTTCTGTGTAGCAATGAAACCACCCAGCCATTTGATTCCTGAAAGCTCTCCTCTCTGCCCTCCATCTCCTCCACTCTCCTCTAGGTTACCTCCTATCTTTCTAGACACTCCTCAGCGTCTTCTCCATTCTCCTTCTAGGATTTTGGGCATGCACATATGTGCCTTCCCTTGAAAGTAGTTTTCAGCTGGAGATAAGAGTTGGCCCCTTTTATGGAGCCAGCAAATTGTATGGTGGTTAAAGTGCTGGAATCCCACATGGCTAACTATGGTGCGAGTCCCAGACCTGGTGGCTTGAAAATCATGCTGTGTGTAAATGCATGCCCAAAATCCTGAGAGAAGAATGTAGAGAAAGGATTGCAGCATGGTCATCTGGGGGTGATTTCTCACTTTCCCTCTGTCTGTCTGTCTGTCCATCTGTCTGTCTCTCTCTCTGGCAAATACACCTGTCCTATGGCAAAAATCTAAAAAAAAAAAAAAAAAAAAGAAAAGAAAAAGAAAGAAAGAAAGACAGACAGACAGACTTGGCCCCTTTCATCTAATACATTCCTTTCCCTTTGGGTGACCTCATCCGTACCTGTGGTCTCAACTCTCATGAGACGAATGACTTCCAAATCTACATATTCAATATCTCTCCTGAGATCCAGACCACATTTCCAACAATGTTCTGAATTGGGGTGATGTATTATGTTGACCGTAGTTTGTTTCATTGCTCTTCTCTCTGGGTTAAACCTGCTTCTTTTCCTATTTTCCCGATTTTGCTAAATGACTCTGTGATCTCACATCCTAGATTCCTCCCTTAACCCCACATCAAAATGGACATGAATCATGGGCTCTGACTTTGTGATGTTCCTGAAAACGGACTCTCCCCTTTCCCACTACCATACTAGTTCAGCCTTCTACTTGCTTATCTTCTACATGTCCTTCAGTGCTTCCTAAACTATCTTTTTAAAAAAAATTTTTTTTTTTTTTTTGCCATAGGGCTCATGCATTCACCAGAGAGATAGAGAGAGAGGATGAAAAGAAGTGAGAAATTATCCACTAGGAGAGATGGCCACACTGCAATCCCTTCTCCTCCAGTCTCCTCCTGGGATTTTGAACACACACACAAACATACCCAGTGTGAGTTTCTAGTCTCATTTTTAATATTCTTCCATACTCCTCATATTCTTCCATAGAGCTCATCATGGTCATTTCTGCAATTCCCAGAACTCATTGTGGTCATTTCCACATGCTGTCCTTCCTGCGGATAGTGTTTGCCTAGACTCCTATAATCCATGCTGTCTGCACCACTTAATACGTAGCTGTCTGTTTCCTCTCTCAGACTAGGGGCCCATGGAGCGCAGCAGCTCAGTTCTATGGTCCCTTTATCACCTAGTGATTAGACAAAGTCGTTCCTGAGGAGTTAAATATAATAAGGCTGATTAGAAAGAACACAAAGACACCAAATAAATTCTAATGATCAGTAGAAAACCAGTTGAACAGAAAAAAGGTAAGAAATAACTATTATATGTACACATATGTATATTCATATTGATTACATCTAAATTATATACAACTGAAAATTAAAACAGAGCTCATGTGCTTGGGGCTGCTTAAAGTGTTACAACTGAAAAGAAATAACCTAAATAAAAATTTAACATTTTTGGGACTAGTAAATGGCATAATGGTTATGTCACTAGACTCCCACATAATCAACTGTGATTCAAGTCCCAGACTCAGCAACTTAAAACTCATGCTGAGCACCTGTGCATGCATGCCCAAAATCCCAAGAAGGGAATAGAAGAGATAGGTTTTCGGTGTGGTCATCCCCCCTGGGGAGTGATTTCTTGTTTTCTGTTTCTCTGACAAGAGCATGCACCCTATAGCAAAAAATCTCAAAAAAAAAAATAGTTTCTTCTAGGCTAAATTTTGAAGGAAAATAAATGGACAAACTAATAGAATATTATGATTAAAAAGAGTCCATCATCTAATTTAATTCTCTAGCTTAGGAAATTGGAATGCTGAAGTCATCAATTATAAAAGGTCACACAGGTAATTGGAAATAAATCTGAGACTGAAACTCCGTTCTCCTGTGCCATTTCTATTATTCTCTCTGTGTTATAGTTCCCCTGTACTTAGGTGTGCATCGTGTATGCTTCTTGGGTCAACATCCTTGCTTCCTAGCACTACAAGTGTAGATAGTATGTCAAGAAGCAATGGCAGGTGGTGTAGTGGTTATGTGCTGGGCTCCCACATGGTCGACCACAGTTTGAGTCTCAAACCCAGCGGCTTGACACTCACAGCAGGCACATGTACGTGTGTGCCCAAAATCCTGAGAGGAGAAGGGAGGAGAAGGGATTGTGACATGGCCATCCCCCTAGGTGGCCACTTTCTGTCTCTCTGTCTTCTGGCAAGTGCACAGATCCTATAGCAAAAATCTCTTTCTCAAAAAAGAAAAAAAAAGAATGTATACAATTTAAGAACAACTCAAAAGTGAACTTGAACTTCCTTTGGGTATCAAACTTTTTACTAAGTCAGTGTTTCCAAAATTTTCCCAATATAAAAAACTCAAGGTCTTTTTTTTTAAGAGAAATTTTTGCTATAGGGTGTTTAAACTTGCCAGAGAGACAGAGTGACAGAGATACAAAAGACAAGAAATCACTTCCTTCCCAAGGGGATGGCCACATTACAATACTTCCTTCTCCATTCTCCTCTTCGGATATTGGTCATGTACATACATGCACCCATGGTGAGGTTTTAAGCTGCTGAGTCTGGGACTCAAACTACGGTCAACTATGTGGGAGTCCAGAGATGCAAACAGTAGGCCATCTCATCCTTCAACGTCATTATTAAAAACAGATTTGCAGGTTCTACTGACTTTCTGAATTCAGGGGAGTGGCTTGGATCAGTATTTTTTTTTTTTAAGGTTTTTACCAAGGGTGTGTGTGATCTCAGGAGAGAGAGAAAGCTAGTGAGAGGGGAAGTGAGAAATCACACTCTAGAGGGGATGGTCATGCTGCAATCTCTCCTCCTCCATCCTCCTCCTGAGATTTTGGGCATGCACACATGTGTACTTGGTGTGATTTTCAAGCCATCAAAATTGGAACCAGAACCATGGTCAGCCATGTGGAAATCCAGCACCTTAACCTCCATACTACCTGCTGGCCCATGGATCAATATTTCATCAACTCTAGATCATTCTTACCGAGAAGCAAATGTGGTGGAAACTGTGCTACCAACAAATGTTCATTCCTCTTTCTCAGTGTTGATTCATAATATGTATAAAACCCCAACAGAATTGGAAAGAGAAAAAATAACTAAAGTTTTAGCAATTCTGAACCCAGACAGTAAAGGGAAACAAAGGTAGTTCAGAGATACTTTTACTCTGAAACAGTTTAAGTTACCAAACATTTTTCCTGTCTGGTAGCTGGAAGGAAGATGTGATGCACCAACTTTCAACACTGATTGCATATTAGAATATTTATGAGGAGGGCAGTAGTTGGTGTAGTAGTTAAGGTGGTGGCCCCTCATATGGTCGACCATGGTTTGATTCCCAGACCTAGTGGCTTGAGACTCATGCCGGGTATGTGTGTGTGTGCATGCCCGAAATCCCAAGAGAAGAATGGAGGAGAAGGGATTGTGGCGTGGCTATCCTCCTGGGGGGGGATTTTTTGCTTTTTGTCTCTCTGTCTCTCCAGCAAATACATATGCCCTATAGCAAAAATATCTCTCTCTTAAAAAAAAAAAAATCTATGGGACAGCTAAAACATGGAAACAGCCAGAAACAGAGATTTGGAGTCTTGTGTGGTACCAAGGGTTGGAGCACACTCAAGAGTGGGTTGTCAGCATCCCACAGGTGATTCTCAACTCAGCCAGAGTGAAGAAGCACCACTTCATGGAATGAAAGGAACATAAGCACTCCTCTCTGAGGCTGAACTAACACAGGCAACATTTGAAATAACACGAGAAGCAACTAGGCTCAGTGTAGCCCCTGTACGATATGAAATAGCCGTTCTCTGACGGGCTCGCTTAGAGTGAAGGAGACTGCACATACCCTCCACTGAGGGCACCACTTGGTGTGCCAGGCATCTCTAAGTCTAAGAGCACAGGGTTCCTAGTCAGCAGCCATCAGAGCTATCGAGCATGGTGAGTGGCCTGGCAACCAGCGCTCAGCCTGGCTTAGTGAAGATTGATGAAGGAAGCCACAATAGACTGATGGTAGGATGAGAATGGCCAGCTGACTATTAGAAGAGTAACTACTTATACTTGTGGAATGCCTTTATCTTTGCAAAGTACATTATGTGACTGCCAAACATGAGCAGGTCCGTGGCCAAGGCATTATGGGACATGTGTAAATAAGATGGGGACCAACCCTCAAAGGGATGACAGTCTAGGTGAGAGGACCTGATCTATATACAGATAACTGATAAGTCAGGAGCCTCAATGCCTGGTGGGCAGATGAAAGTGAAGTTAGGTCATCTGGAATTTACTTAGGGGCAGCAGAGTAGGGATGCCATTGAAGATTTCTAAAATGGCATCGTCGTGATTAGGGTTCCTGACAGTAGGGATTAAAGACAGAAAAGGTTTTAAATTAGTATAAAACAGAAAGACTTTCTTTATTCATTTAAAAAAAATTATGGTTGTTTATTTTTATTTATTTCATGAGAGAGAGAGAGAAAAGGGAGGAGGAGAGACAGGCTCCTCCAACAGTCTTAGTTGGCAAGCCCAGGGAGGTCTCAGGATGCAAACCCCAAACCTTTCCCATGTGAGTCCACCTGGCCGCATTTTCTAATCTATGACATCACATAGAAGAGCTCAGCAGCCCCAGGCACAGGATCAGTAATCTCGTTCTATCAATGGGGGACAAAAAAAGTAAACTGAGGCAAAGTGAGGTCAACTGACTCGTTTGGCATAGCCACTCTGCAGTTAAAGGCAGAGGGAAAATCTTTTATCTGCTGCAGTTGCCTGAAGAAAAATCACTAAAGAAACTAAGAGCTGTTTGAAATATTTAGTTTGTGCCAGTCAATTTAGTTCGCTTGCGGTGACAGGTAACACATTCTTACCTCGCTCAGATGCGTCTTCAGCTCCTGCACTTTTCTATACTCCGGAGTGTCAAGCACCACTTTGTATTTGTCACGCATCTTCCTTGCATTATCAGTGTACAGGTAATTAGACTTTAAAAAAAGGCAAATACAAGTTGATTAATCATTGAAGGGGCTGCATGTCATGGTGACTTTCAAATGGCTGGCATGTGTAAGCTGAGCAGGCTCATTCTGTGTCCTGGGTGGAATCCAAGGCAGAAACAAGACCAACTGTCATGTGAGCTCATTCCCTTCCACGGGAAGTGTAAATCATGATAAGCAGGCCACAACCTGCCCAAAGGGTTAAGGATAAGTTTCCCCTAAAAGCAGCCGCAGGATAAGATTCTTTCTGCCCATCTCCTTTAAGCTGGTGACAGGGTGCAAGGCAGCTGTACAGGACAGCCATGTGTTGTGAAGATGCACACTCACCCAGAGCTTCCGCAGGTGCCGGGAGCGGACCATGTCAGGAGTGTCATACAAGAAGCAGCCGAGTCCCCTCAGGATCTGCAAATCCTCTTTGTATTTAATCTGTGGGGCAAACACAGAAACATGGTTGGTCATGAGAAATGTGAAGATGGAGTAGTGACATTTCTCTATGGATGTTGGGTCTTTCATTTGGCTCACCACATCCACTCTGTGCTGAGTTGCTATAAACTCAAGTCATAGGGTTTTTTTTTTTGTTTAAGTTTCTAACCTTGAGCTGAGGAAAACATGATTATTGTTTTGTTATTATTATGTTGATGGGAGGAAAGCACAGATTGGAGGGATTGGTCTTGTAAGAGAAGCAAACATCCAAGGAGAATCTTAAAAATTACAGCAGAAAGTTGCTAAAGGGGGTTGGGTAGGGATGAGCAGGAGGAGGATGCTGAACTTGACCTGGCACAAAAGCCACTTAGAAAATGAGGAGTTGGTAATGATTCAGCATCAAATGTAGGATGATGGTCACTGAATGGCAGCAATTCTTGTATTGCCCAAATGACCCCCATACCATGGTTTCCATAGCCGGAGATTGGTGGAGCTCTACCTCCACACTATTTCACCTCCAAGTTGTACACTTTGCTTACAAGTACTTAGTGGAAAAGGCTAGTCAAAGACTATTGGTTGTTTCAGTGCTAAAAATAAGCATGCTTCTTGGTAAAAGACCCCTTTGAGATGCTTACATCGCTGGTGATGTCTCCCACGTAGCGACAATGGACCACTTGGGGCGTGTATGGCAGGGAGATCATGTGACCCTGCATCTTGAAGAAGTCTGATTTGTAGATCAGCTAAAGACAAAAATATCCAAGAAAACATGTATCAGAGCCCAAATGGTTGACATTCATCCCTGGGCCCCACAACCTGTCTTCTCTCCTAAGAAAATACCCACCTCACTGACAGCTTCTTGTGTCTTCTTGACTTGGCGGATTTCAGGTGTGTCAGGAGTTGTGTGAATCTTGTCTTTCAGCTTGTGGTATAATTCTCGATACAGTCTCTGCATGGGTGGAAAAATCATTCCAAGTGTTTACTGTGAGCTGATGAAAGTTTTCACTAATCAATAATTAAAAACTTTTATGTAAAGACCCAAGAGAGGAAATATTGGGCATATAGAAAATTATTGAAGTTAGGAAAACAGAGAAAAATAATCCTTGTTTCATTTAGATGAAGAATTCTGAGCACAAAACTTTTCATTAGCTATCAGATGGCTGCACAGTGAGAGGACACACGCAAACCAAGAGTGGAGGAAGAGAACCAGGCTCATGAGTTAGACTAAGATGCAAACTTCTTAAGGGTTTTTGGGGACAAATATCAAAAGAAGAAAATTTTCTTTCTTTCTTTTTCTTTTTTTTTTCTTTTTTTTTTTTAGTTTGAATTTTGCTATAGGGCACATGTGCTCACCAGTGAGGAAGAGAGAGAGAAAGAGAGACAGGGAGAGGGAAGGTGAGAAATCACACCCCAGAGGGGATGGTCATGCTGCAATTTTTTCTCCCTCACTCTTCTCTCAGGATTTTGAGCACACACAAAGATGTGCCTAGCATTTTTGTTTGTTTGTTTTGTTTGTGTTTAAATTATTTTTTGCCATAGGATGTATGTGCTTTCAGGAGACAGAGAAAGGAAAGTGAGAAATCACCCCCTGGAAGATTGGCTATGCAGCAATCCCTTCTCCTCCATTCTGCTTGCAGGGTTTTGAGCACATGTGCACATGTACCTGGCATGATTTTCAAGACTCCTGGTTCAGACTTAAACCACAGAGTCGGCCATGTGAGATCCAGTGACCTAACCACTACACCTCTTATTGACCCAGCGCCTAGCATGTTTTTTTAATTCGCCTATCCAAGATGTGAACCACATCATCGACCATGTGGAATCCAGCCAGAAACCACCACGTCACCAGCTGGCTCAGGAATTATTTCTTTAGAAAATGTTTACATCATAAGCTATGAAACTGAGTCTCTGCCATGGTATTACTAAATACAGGAAAACGTTGTTGAGGGGTACCACTAGCAAAGGGTGACAAAAAGGACCCTGGCTGCAGATGTGCACGTTCAGAGCTGAAATATAATGAATTCTTAGTGTATTTCAAATTAGCCATGGTCTTTAAACCTGTCCCCCAGAGAATCTGAATTCACCGTACCTCGCTGGTCACGTTGTTGACTCTCCGGACGTGGACAAATGGAACGTCTTTGGGGCCTAGCGTGTACCCATTTGCCTTGATGTGTTCATAGGCTTCTTTGTATTTGAACTGCAAAAGCAAAGACAGGGTGAGATCTATGATGAGGAAACAGAGTAGCATTGCATTTCCCAGACATTTCTCATTACATGTCTCAAAGAAAGCTATCACCTTTATTTGAAAATTGCTCTCTAAGCACAAGGAAAGATCACTGAGAAAATTTCAGTGTTATTCCAAGTCTTGAAAATCACCTGTTGTATAATAAAATCAGGTCCAGAAAGAAATAAAATCCAATGTTGTTTAGGAGAAATCTATTGATAGGCAGCTATGCAAAATGCAACAACAACAAAAAGTCTGTATTTTCAGCCCAGTGTGACTAGGCAGTTTGGAAATATAAGAAAAAAATAGTTTTAAGACTGATGAATGACTTTACAGACTAATTTTTGAAATGACTTGTTGGATGATCAAATCAGTGACTCTATGGTTTGGGAATGTATTATCAGGACACAAGCCCCTGCCTAACTAGCAGGTTTGAGCCTCAGGACTCTGAAGGACAGCTTGAAAGGGAGGGCTTATTCTTTAGCCAGTCCTGGTCTGTGAATAAGCGTTGCAGATCAGAATCACTGGGATAGCTAAAAGTCTCTAAGTCTTGCCCCTGGAGTAAATTTATCAAGTCTCAGTCTGGAACTTCTAAAAAGTACGGCAGAGTAGTAACAGAGTCTACACCAAGGCAAGCTATAGAGAGTGAGGGTGTATCGACTTCTCTCTGCACTGGGCACAGAGAATACCCAGGGAGGGAAGTATCAGAGCCAGCGGCCAGGCAGGAGGTCCTTTCTTTTCAAAGAACGGTGATCTCATATCTTCTGTCATGAAACAGCAGATGACAATGCTATCACCATATACCAGTAGAGTATGCATAAAGTTGCATTTCCAGTGACAGGGTAATTCAGAATGCACTAAGGACAGCAGAAATAGAAGCCTCATGGCAGCCCTGGGCACCACCACGCCCGAAGCTCCCACGAACATCCTATCCTAACACATTGAGCCACCCCAGACAGCTGATTACAGGAGCCAGTTCCTCAGCACCCTTGGAAAACGTGCTGCTCCCTCCCCCATTTATCATGTTGAACCTTTAGGGTGTGGCTAGAGGAAACAGACTATTAACTAACTTTAAAGTTACTCCCCTCCTATTCCAGCTCCAGAACCCTTCTCAGCAGGGAAGTGACCACTCACATAGCTGCTCATGTACCGGGTGTCCTTGCTGTGCTTGAAGTGCGGGGTGTCCACCGGGAGCCTGTACCCGGTGGGCAGAGTGCGCAGGCTAGTTTTGTATAGATTCTGTGGGACCGAGAAAGAGCAGGTTAATGACACCTGGCATCCAAGAACTCATCTGGGTTCAATCACATACAGTTCCTGTTAGGTTTGGGATCAGATATGTAAGGTACTTAGGCACACTGAATTGATTTCAGGAAGACATTAAGTGCTAAAAGTCATGAAATGGGTCAGGTTAGT